GCGAAGGTGTCGGGGAGTGTCGGCGCCGGTGGCAAAGGTGCACGGCACAAAGTTTCTTCCCTGCTTGGACCCCCCTGCTGAGGTGTCACTTCAAATAGATGACAGGAAGAAAAAAAATGAATAAATGAAATTCAACAAACCGGAATCAGCAGATGTGTAAGCGCCTGTTCAAAGGTGTAAGGCTCATTAATGGTGTTGCTATGCATCGTATTTACACAACTAACAGCTCTCACATTTTTTTCCTTTTGTTGAACAACATCACTCAAAAAAAAGCAGCATTTAATCATTCAAAGTGCAGCCTGTTCCCGTAGAGATGATTTATGTCGCCGGCTTTTGATGGCAATTCTCAAAGTTGACGAGTTGACCCCAGCTTCAGAAGCGCATCTCTCATGGAAATATTGTCGCCAGGGAACGGCGGAGACAACGCGATGTTAGTATCATGAATTAAAATATGCACACAGATGTACAGCCCTGCATCAATATGGATGCTTAGCAGCCAATTTTCTATTCATTTAAATAGGAGAAGATTGTAACAACGTCATGCACGGCATGTACTTATTCAGCCCTGTCCTCCCAGCCCCCACCCCTCCTTCTGTCCTTCATCGCGGAATTGTTTCTTTCCTTCTCTTAAGTCTCTCTGCACCCTTCAACGCTGATACAAACGTGATGTGATGAACTCTGGGCTGCCATGGGTGCCTTCTCTCCTCCCTGTTTATTTCTCTGCCAGCGATTGATTGTTTTCCAGACTAACCTTAATAACCAGGGATATTGGAGGGTATCTGAATTTGTTGGTGTTTGAACATTGAACATTTTTTTTGTTTGCATGCATAATTCTGCGTCTCTCATTGATCGGTAGAAAGACAAAGCTGTTTGTGAGCAGCTTTTTCCTCTTTTTTTTTTGCATGCTTGCAGTCTTTATTTTGCGTACATGCTTGTTTAGCTTCGTGTGTGTGTGTGTGTGTGTGTGTGTGTGTGTGCTTTAGCTCCACATATGTGTACGCGCCTGTACAATATACAGGAGCCTGTGTGTGTGTGTGTGTGTTTGACAGAGAGCATGTGTGTGGTTGAAGGAGTGCTTGTTGAAGCATGGTTGTCTCATTGAAAAATGTATTCTGAATGGCAGACATGTGGAGGAGTAAATATTTGTCATCTAGGGACAAACATACATCAGTCAGCCGTGCTCCGGATTATATATGATGGTGGATGGAGGTTGTTTTTTTTCCCTGGTTCTATTTCGGCTTCTTTCCCCGTGTTTGATCAATGTTAATGTTGTCTGAGGCTCATCGAAAGCAACCACCTGAACAGCGCTCTTGTACACCGAGACCTAATATACATACATTATATTTACAGTCATTATCAAATGAAGATACTTAATGGTATAAAAGCATCCAGTAAGCCACTTCAGCAAACCCGAGCACTGCGAAGAAATACGCCAACCGACAGAGTGGTTGTGACAAATCTGATCTGGGCTTTGTTGTTAATGGCAGCTCAACATGAAATGGTTTAATATTCTGGATAGTGATTTTAATTGAATTCATTTCAGAGGACGTTGTAAGGTGCTGATGGTGTCATAAAACACTTGTTATAGCTGCTGTTCATCACTGTGATGTAAATGATGCTCAGTGATTGCTCAATGATGCTTTTCTTCAGGGACATGGCGTTGTAAAAAAAAAAAAAAATTAAAAAAAAAATTGTAATTGGCTCCAAAGGGCACGATGTGTTGGTGCCATGAGGGAGGAACACTAGCTATGGGTTTTCTCCCTGCTGACATCCTCATGCTGTGGTGCTTTCAGCGATTCTGTTCTCCAAGTAGATAACAAGGAGGGAAATTAAAAAATAAATACTTATTTTACCAACGTTTATAACACGAGTCGACAGTACGGGGCAGGCTGACACGAGTAGAGGAGAGGTGAGAAGAATTTCTTTTCAAAATAGGATTACGGAGACATACCCCTGGGAAGTGATACAATAAGTGACATCAAAGTAAAAATCATTACAAAATATTGAAGATAGACGGTAACAAAAGACGTTCACAAAGATGCAACATTTGTGAAAATCTAACCCCGCATGCTTTTTTTTAAATGCAGTGGTGTGTGCATATATGGTTACATTGGTTACAGGAATATAACTTTCCATTTTTCTTTATTATGTATTTCTTTTATAAATATTGAATATGTATTTCGAGTGTCTCCGGCTGCACGTCCTCCTGTGGACGTGCTCCATCCCTGACGTGGTCAGCTGGACACATGAGACATGGGGGTCTGTGTGCAGCAGGAAAACTGCCCTGGACATCACGGCTCAGCACACTGACAGCTGGTGCACCCCTGTTGTGTTCCTGCGTATGTGTGTGTGTGTGTGTGTGTGTGTGTGTGTGTGTGTTTTAGGTCAGTTGAATGATAATGAATCGTCTCTCGAGAGAATAGCAGCTGCAGACCAAATATCGGGTCACAACCTGATGCGGCTCTTTCAAAAAGTACAAGAATCATTCAATCTTTCTTTTTTTTTTTATGGTAATGTTTGCTAGCTATGTAACGGTTACGGGGCCCCAGCAACACATTCAGCATGATGTATCAATTCAATCATCTTCATTGGCCCAACGATCAGCAAGGGAGACGTTAAGCATCGTGTGTTTGATGTTTGTGTGTGTACTCAATGATCTGGCAATGGACTCGGATGCATTTGGCAATTAATGGCGGCTTTGGCCAATCACATTCAGTGGAATCTAATGCCGGGCCCACACTGCTGCAGTATGTCCATTTGATTTGTGCACTGACCCGCAACAAGTCTGTTAAGTGGCTGATACTCCCCGTCTGCGTGTCTGCGCGTACGCAAGTTGACTTTGAAGTACATTGTGTCGTGACAATAATCTAAGCCAATTTACTACGCATCAGCCCTCCATTAAGGGTTTGATATAAAGCAGTGCGTGACTAGAATGCCCTCCCATAAAATGACAATTTACTTCTCTAAAGAAATTACGTGTTTAACCTCATTAACCTGAAGTGCACGTACTAAAACGGAAGACTAACCCCTACCCCCTTGTGACACACACAAACACACACAAACATCGTCAAAAGTCGAGAGTTCACGTTGAACGTGGCGGTGAGTTAACGGCATCAGGAGCTCATCAAGCTGCTCTCACGACTCGCCGGCGTCTCGGGCGGCTTTTGGTTCGCTCTCTGTTTCAACATCATCTTTCGTCTATGAGATGATTAACCTGGCAGGTGTGGGGCGAGTCTCGCCCACTGTTTTAGGGAGCTGTCGTCTCGTGTCTGCGGGGAGTACAGAGGGTCAGCCCGGCCGGCTAATGGCTGTGGTCACAAAGCTGGAAGCCGGCCCATTAGAAGAAGCCGCCGTCATTAGGACCAGCACACTTTCAAACAACCTGACCTGCTGGTCCCACGCTGTTTATTAGCAAAGTTTTGGCTCTCCGTTAGAGCAATTATACTCACCATTCATGTTGAACTGTGGCCTTTCCCTCCACACCAGGAGACAAGAAACACACACTGCCTTACAAAGTAAATAATGTGCTCCTGAATAGGGAGCTGCCATATTAATGACATTTTCTTTCCCTGCAAATGTGTTGCAAAATAGAAAACATGATTGGAAAAGGGGGGAAAGTGTCAGCAAGTGATGTATGTCGTTCATTGGACACAGAACATTTAGTTTTCATTAAGAGTTAAACATGTACACGAAACATTAATGGGGTTCAGCGGCAGCAGCAGTGGCATGCTTCACTATCTCATCCTGATAAATTAGCAACTCAGCACACGGGGGGGGGTAAAAATGAAATAGGAGAAGAAAGAGAGACATTAATATAATGTGCACTGTGCAGTGGGGGAGGAACTGGCAGATAACGTCTTTATCCAAAGATTGGTGTTTGTGACGCAAACGTGGTATTATCCCGGAGCTGGGCATCAGCAAGCTGCGAGGATGAACGAAGGGAGGAGAGGATGAGAGGAGAGAAAGGTCAGCATGGGTGTTGCCGTTTCATTATGAGAGATGTGTACTACCGTCCTCTCCTGCCACACAGGGAGTGATGGAGAAGGTTGTTAATGCCTGATCTGTCAGCCATATTAGATTCAGGGCAGTAAATTAATATTACCCCTCTTTTAAAAGGGATTTTATTTTTGGATTTACTGGCCTCCCCTGAGTGTCGGTGTTGTAAAGAGGTTATTTTCCTCTTTCCACTCCGTTCTGCGTCCTCTCGCCGTACCTCGCACTCAGCTAATATGTTTAGAGAGAGGAGCTGCGCTCGTGGAGGAAGGACGTGTGCGCTGTCTGCTCCGTTGTGTCATTCAGCGTTTGAGTTGAGCATTTTTTTCAACGAGCGTAAAAAGTTTGCTGTAAATCGCAGCGTTGTCCTCCTGAAGGGCAGCGCCTGTATCTCAGCTCGGTAGAGGTGTATCTTCCCTCTTCTTCTTCTTCTTCCACATCTCCTATACGTCATATGGTTCTTAAAGAATAATACAGACTCTACTGTATAAGTGATTTTTGAGATAACTGTCTGTCTAGATGTCAGTCATCTTTAACCTCCCCTGCCTCTTGCCCTGTCTTGCCTAATGTGGCTAGAGTTAGAGTCCTGGTTGAAGAGCCGTATAACACGGTGTGAAGTAGCCTAGTCGCTGAGACGGGATTTACGGCCGCCAGTCCATCAGCGGTGATGTTAAAGGGCGGTGATTAAGAGCTGAAGTGAAGACCCGGACTCCGCTATCCTCCCTGACCCAGCCAAGAGCAAGCACAAGGCCAAGCTCTGTCTCTGCCAAATTTTCTCCATACATTCTCTTTTTTTCCACTGTCTGTCCATCTGTCTCTGTCTTTTTCTGCCTCGTTCACATCCATATGCATGAGTTGCGATTCACCAAGGACACCGAGTCTCTGCATTAGATATTTTTGGCGCCTGCTGCATTTCATGACAACTTGAAAGCTTGAAAGCATTTCGGGTTTGGCATCCCTCTAAAAATCCCTTTTTTTTCTTCTTCTTCTTCTTTAATTCTCTGAAGGGTCCGAGCACGCCACAGCAACACTTCCTGCCTCCTTCTCGGACCTGCTACCTCACTTCCTGGTGGAGCCGGAGGACGAGTTTATCGTGAAGAACAAGCCGGTGACGCTGACCTGCCGCTCCACCCCGGCCACGCAGATCTACTTCAAGTGCAACGGCGAGTGGGTTCATCAGGACGACCACTTGATCGAGCGGACCGTTGACCCGGCCACAGGTACATGCAACACTAACTGTCCGTCTGAATAATTCATTTCCTCTAAATTTCCTCTCAAATTGAGCTCTCTCTGGGCATTTTGTCAGCTGAGATAAGTAGTCTTTTCACCTGTTTGTTTCGCTGTGACATGTGCAGCTCCATAGATACATTATGCAAAGTGTTTGCATCTGAAACTAAGGTTTGCAATTTGCCAGTGATTACTGTGCTCCATCAGGCTCTTGGCTCATCCTCCAGCCTATTTAGCCTGCCAGTCTCATAATAGGCATAATGGTTTCAGTCTCAGAAATCTTTGCGATCACCTTGGAGACCTGTTTGTTTTTCTCTCTGTTGTGCTGCAGTCCCCCCGCCTCCGCCATCAGTGTCACAAACACCCATGACACTGATGTGGTGTGATTCAGCAGCCATCTGCAAATTCAAAACCACCCATTCACAGTCTGACAACTGATTGGGAACGAGAAACGTGCAAATGACAGGAACGCGCGCACACATGCAAATGACTACATTCTGATTTGTAGCCCGACACAACAAACACACATCCATAAAGAACATAATAGACACAACAACATAAGAACTACACAGAGAGACAGACACACAGTTTCCAATATAAACGTGGGCATGAATTGTGAAATGTCGTGGGGCGAACCGACTCTAAGTGTCGATTCAATCTGACGCTTTTTTTTGTAGGTGAGGATTTCTGATCAAATATTCTCCGGCACTGAAACTTTGATTGGTGTGCATGCTCACTCCTGCGCCGGCTCTTTTTTTGTCTAATAAACACACCGTGGTGAGGGATTTTAACTTCTACAAAGAAACAGCTCCAGTGTAACAGAAGTTACAAGGCAGTAAAATAGGACTGAGTTTCCATCTGTGGATTTGTTTTACCTTGTGTATTTGGCACAGTTGTGAATGCCAGAGTCATTTTGAAGTCGGGCTCTGGTAGATAATGGCCAAAAAAAAGTATTAGGAATTAATTGTAGCTCCTGTTTTGTGAATAGAAAGTGCACACAGAAGGGAGCGCTTGTGGATCATTGAGAAGGAAATGTGAGTGAGTCAACGCTGATACAATTTGAACAGTTACTAACGCTGTCGTCCTTCTTGTGTTTTTCATTAACAGTTATTTTCACAGAGTTTCTCACTGTTGTAGAGAGAAGTGATAGAAATTAAATGTTGCCAATATCAACAATCCTTCTCGGGTTTTTGGCTAATGACTCTTTTAAATAATTAGTCAAAAGTCTACTAGCCTCGAGTGTAAAGCCAAGTGTGACATACAGGGACAGTACATCATTACTTGATTACTTTTCTGCTTCCTCCAGTAAGCTGTTTTCATAAACAATGTAAAAGAGAAAATCTGGGGTTTTGGAGATTTGGTTCCTCCGTGTACCGGGTTTCTAATCGTCTTTTTATATGTACGCACGTGCTGAACATTTGACTTTTTTTTTTAAATTCCGAAATATTTGCACTGTGAGGGAAAGTTCCACTCTGCCTGTCTTCTCACTTCACTGTCTTCTCCACGCAGACGCGCAATCAAAGGAAAAGGAAAAGAGGCAGCGTCTCGGGGGTCGGGGAGAGATGTGATTACTGACCTGCAGCAGCAACTCAGTTCAGAATCTGTGATTACCCGCGTAACCTGGTTTCCCTGAGTAACCCGTTTACCGAACGTTGCATGATCTACGCGTTGCTTGTGGCTCGAGACGTCGTGACTTTGTGGAGTCGGCTGCCTAACTTTGATACGATGACATGAATCGTCAGTATAAAGAACACGCTGCGCCCCATAAACTGCAGAGTTTATGGGAACATCACAATGCAATGTTAATGTGCCGACATTTAATGATGATGGACCATTTGCCATGTGGTTATGAGCCGTTATAGTCGGCATTTATTTGTCTATGAAACAAAACTGTCGTGCCGGGTGCCACAGACCCCTGCTGCAGCGGAGGGGCTCCATCTTTGGAAACCCTGGGAAGTTTGCAAGGCCTCCTCACAGCTCTCCACATCCCCCCCCCCCCCCCCACCCCCACACACACCTCTTTGATGATGAATGTGTCATATATGTGGGGCTGTGCAGCGATGAAGGACAAGTGGTTGTCCAGAATTATGGCTGCTCCAAGGTACCCACATCGATCTCTCAAACACTTGTGCTGTTTAATGTCAGCACTGCCCTGAGGAGTTTACTGATGGCTCCCTCTAATCCTCCTTCCTCCAAGAAACATGTGAGTCGCACACATCCAACACATGCAGCTGTGTGTGTGTGTGTGTGTGTGTGTGTGTGCGTGTGTGTGTGTGTGTGTGTGTGTGTGTGTGTGTGCAGTCCAGGCTGTTCTCTCACCCTGGTCGTCACAGTCACACTGGACTCTAAACTTGTACCTGTTGCCAAGCAACCAGGACTTCTGTCGCACCAGAAGCTGCCCGATATCAACATCACGCCTTGAGGGAGGAGGAACGAGGAGTTTGGAGACTTACCCAAGTTGACAAAAATTGATTGACAATTTCTAGTGCAGCGGTTGGAAAATCACCTTCTCAAAATAGCCCATTTCTCCAAAAGAGACTTTGAGAAGTGTCCCACATGTCCCCGAGTGGTCGTCTCTGCTCATGCTCCCCACTAAGCAGGACCCATGCTTTTTTTTTGTTACTCGATTAAAAAATGACAAATGTGTTAATGCTATGCACCCATGTGACCAACCAACAAAAAGCTCCTCATTGACTGGTGCGTTCACACCGATGAGGATCATCATTCCTTTGTTGTGTAAATTACAGATGAGCTGTCGTTGAAGTTAATGCTTTTAATTCCAACAGTCAAATAATTGAAACAGCATGTAGACACATCGGAGTCAAGAGTCAGTGCAGGAGATGGTTTTCACATTTGCTCTGCTCTTCTCTCCTTCCTTCACTCTGATGGATGAGTGGACCATCAACAGTGAAGCACACAGTGCGTGATTAGGCAGAGAGAGGCAGACGTCTGATACATCAAAATACATTGTTGGTATGTATGAGGAGATGTAAATGTCAACACGAAGAAAACGTGTTTCTGTTTTTGTAAAGGTTTCACAAACCCTGAAGCTGCATCTCTATAACCATCACTTAAATGTGTCGGGGCAAAATAAGTGTTAAAGAGTATTTATTTTATATTTAATCTTTTAATTAATCAGGAAAGCCTCATTAAGATTAAAATATCTAAAATTTAAGACTGAAAAATAAAAATAAATAATAAAATGTATGCAACAAAATCTGAATTAATTAGAAATGCAATTATAAAATCATGATTAATATTTCTAATACAACCATGAAAAAGACCTTAAATCAACCCAAGAGCTGATGTCAAATAACTAAAAAAATAACTAAGACTGATACAAAACAATAACCGAGACGAACACATTGAGAAAAACCCAAAAACAGCAGCAGCTGAAGAGAGAGCACCCAGTTTCTGCAGCAATGATTTACATTCACGAAGGGAGACTAAATTTAGCAATTTTAGATCAACAGTAACGGCAGACGGAGCAGCGTACAGAAAATCTCTTTCTCACTTCAAGATGCTTCCAGTGTCAAAGATAAAGATGAGTCACAGCATTGATAGAAGGGGCGGAACACGTTACGTTTGACAAAAGATAAAAAGTACAAGTGTTACATCCTCATTTCTACAATTTGATGATATACTGTAAGAAGATATCAATTTATCTACCATATTGTTTATGCCGAGGTATATCCCTTTAACATCGGTGTGTTTATCAGACTCACTCACTAAGCTGCTTTATGGCAATATTGGACTTTTTCTTTTATTGTTTTTGAATTAGTTTGTTGTATTTAATTGACTAAATTAGCCATAAAGGATGGTATGTTTATGTTTTCTAACTATTTAACAACATATATAAATACCACAATAAAGATACTTTAATAGAAAATAATATCCATACTATCCTCTTTGCATTCAAAATATGAATAGCAATTCCTGCTCATAATCTTTTTAAAGGTGATCAACACGACATTCAGAGTATCTGTTGCCTCCGATGGCTCTCAACGTGGCGACGGCTTAGCCGGTGGCTCGCTGCTAACAGTGCTAACAGAGTTAACCGTGTTGACCTGAGGGGGAACTAAAGGGCGGGTGCTACACCTCTGCGACTTCTGTCGGCACGGTATTATCAACTGAAACCGCTTAGAGAAGATTTAAGTAACCATAAAGATTTTTATTATCTGAACGCTAATGAAAGATAGCTTCATCTGATAAAATCCTGTGTTAGAAATACGAAAAGCAGTGAGAGATGTCAAAACTAGACACACACCTAAATATATGACGATGTCGAGGCATTCACACATCCTAATGACTTCTGTGTTTTCATCACGAAAGGATATCAAACGTGGAAAACAAACTGGTCAAAGAGAGCAGGAGCCGTCATCAATAATCCCTTCACCTTTTCGGGTTGAAGTAATATCCGAGACTGGTCCGGCGCAGCACAGTAGAGTCAATGATATTCAACTACCGCCATCCATGTTCACTCCCAGCAGACCCAGACAAACGTCAAAGTAACTGGGAGGGCTCGCGTTAATAACTGACCCGAGTGTGACGTGCAGACATGTTTCCGTCAGACTGCTCAGTATTTGAGGCTCAGGAGGACGTGACCTCCGCCCTCATCAGACAGGTCTGTTTATTGAAACTGATTCAGTGCAGGAAAGACAAAGGAGCTGCTCCGGCTGACTGTGTGCACTGCTCAGTTACAGTTAGTTACCGACACCCCTTTGTATTCTGTGAACCCCCCCTCTACTACCACCACCACACACACACACACTAGTATACCTACACACAGGGCTTACAACACGCTTACACACAGTCTCAGAAGCTCCTTACGACATGGAAAAGGGAAAAAAGACGTCACAATGTGTCCTTCCTCTCCTGGTATCAATGTCCGATATCGATCCATCCTCGAGTCTATCGGTTCTCATTACATTACCTGTCCTCAGTAACTTATCTCAATTGTTATGGCTGCGACTGCTTCCAGAGCCCCGGCCGG